CCCCAATTCAATGGCAGAGGAAAAGAGGGGGGATGAGTGGTGTTGGCAGAGCTCTGGAGTTGCATGGAAGCTGGGGCATGGGAAAAAACTCATGTTGGTCAGCTTGTGAGCTGAAAGCTCATGGCAGATGGAGAGCACTGACAGGCTGGTGAGCGCTCAGACTTCAGCTTTAATGGGGAGAAGAATCCCTCTTCAAAGTGCAGAGTTGATAAGGGTATTGATACATGGACACACTAACTTAATGTGTAGGGTCCAAGATGAAAAGCCAACCAATATTTGTTTGGGTGTTTTTCTTCTGTTCTTTCCTCTAAAATTACTAACTTGTATGCCTTAAATTGATTTAATAATAAATCTTCATAAGGAATAGGCTTCCATATCAAACTGTAGAGCAGGCTAGTTTTTTAAATGTCTCTTTGGCCAGATCCAAGCTGCTTTCTTTCAGCTCTGTCCAGTGGCTTAAGCATTGTGAACCCCAAGGCTGAGTTGTTGTCTGCAGACTCCAATCATTATCAAAGCTTATCTAGTTCAACTCCTTTAATTCTAAATATGGTTCCCTGAGGTTACTCTTATGGGTATCTCTCCATTTGAGCAAGAGGAAAGACGTGTATGTGGAGCTGGTACAGGGTTACTGAAAGCTTTACAGACTCGGCGGCTTACTGACCTACTCTATTTCCATCTTCCTGCCAAGTTTGCTGGTAGGAGTAAAGGGTATTTTTAGCATGTCTTGAGGAACTGACAGATCCACACCCTTCACTTCCTTTTGGATGATAAGACATATGCATGGTATAATAGTTTGGGGGGAGAGGTGAACCTTCATGGGCTTGACGGTCTCATTTTTATAAATGAGCCTCACAGCTGGGAGGGGTTCCTATAGATTCCCTGGTGCTCCACCTTGTAGTAGTTTTTGAAGAACTGCAGTTGCTTCAATTTTGAATGAGAAGCAGTAGAAGAGTGAAGGAATATTTAGCAGAGCTAGCTTCCGTGCTCGTTCTTGGCCACAGGGAAAATACACTCTTTCAGGTCACGCAGTAAGCCAACGAGTCTTACGGTGCTTTCTGCAGTTGGGAAGAAAAGCTGAGGGATTTGAATAATTGCTATCTTTGGGGTGGGAGACTTGCTGTGGAAGTTGAAGACCAATCCTGGAAAAGGATAAGGCCATGCAATTGTATGCTTAAACTTTAAATTAAAAAAGCTACCAGTGTAGATATGTGGTATTATTTTTTTATTTTTTATTTTTATTTTTTTGTTACTTGGTTTTTAGTAGCACTTGGAGTCCAGGTTAGGTAGTAGTGTAAGCATTCTGTCTCCTAAATTGCTGAGAAAAGATTGTAGTTGTACCGGTGTTACCTACTGAGTTAAGCCAGAATTAGTTTTGAGTTTTGACCCATTTTAATCCTAGAAGAGTAAAGAGGCCTTAGACAAGATCAGGATGGATTGGTTTCTCAGTGGGGTCAGCACTTTCAGACTGTCTCAAAACTTCTTTAGTGTTTGTAAGTCTGATAAGTTCACTTCTGTGCTTGCATGTTTCATTACATTGGTAGCAAAGAGTCTATGGTGCCAATATCTCAAGGCTTCTGTGAACTCCACCTAGTCTTCCCCTTTGCTTTTAAGTTGGCATGTTCCTGTTAAGAGTTCCAGCCACTTGAGTCTTGTCTTGTTTTGTGTTTTTGTACAACTCTGGGTCTGTATTTGAAAAATCAGTTAACCTGCAGCATGCTACAAGCGTTAGTGACCAAGCATAGGTGTGCCTTTTGCAGAAGGCACAAAGCTTTATATTAACAAATTTTATGTTTCTTGTTCTTACACCATTCCTTAAGATGGAAGTGTATGTAAATATGATCTGCATTAGCAATGGTGCTGTTCTGAGTCTGCAGAGTTTGCCACTGCATTTGCTGCTCTTAGCTTTTTACAAGTTTTAGAAGGAACTGAGAGTGCTTCGAATGGTTTTCATTGCTGTTGGGGAGCTGGGTTGGATGGAGGCTGGGAAACTCATAAACAGTGGGTCCATTTCACTCCAGGTCACTGGCGTATTTGAGGAACAGCTGTGCTGAGACTAGTTACTAGGACCCCAACACAAAGTTTGGGGGAGGGAGATGTTTTCTCTAACCTCCACTGCCTACAGATCACTCCGGAAGATATTTGGATGTGGAGGATGCACTGTTATCCTACCATTGCACCAGCCAGGACTTCTAGGTCAGTGCTTCTCAACCTTTTTGTACCAGGACCCATTTGTAAACATCCATGGCCAGTCCCGACCCAGTGGCCCTCATTCTTGACTCGCTGCCTCCAGGCCTCAGCCCCCCAGTGTATGGGGTGGAGGGCAGCAAGCAGCCCCTTGCAGACTGGAACTCTGTCAGCTTGTAAGGAAAAAAACATCATTTCCCACGTTTTTCTTTAAAGGAGAATCCATTTTTAAGGTTTGTTCATGACCCTTTCATATATTCTTGTAACCCACTTTTGGGTCATGACCCACAGGTTGAGAAATACTGCTTTAGGTTACAGAAGGAGAACAACAATAACATGCTTAGTCTTATCCACCTCTCCTTCCAACAAGCAGAAGAGGAAGGATTTGGGAAGAAAAAGTCTTGAAACTGATATGTATATAGTGCTTTCTGTACTTCACTTGCTGTCTTTACTTCACATAGGTACCACCCCCACATGCTTCTGTTTGCCCCAAGACGGGGAAAGGACTGAGCTCAAGTTTCGCCATCTCAGGAGTGGAGTGAAACTGCCCTCTGTGAAAATCATGGGGGATTTTTTTCCCCTCTTAGGATTTGTAGCACACTTATGGTGGCTGACCATGTGCAGGGGGAAAAAAAGGAATGATTCTTGCATATGACCTTTTCTTAACAACATGCTCTGTGTGTCATCCCCTGCAACTGGTGTTCTTGCTCCTCTGGACCTAGGATTATTGCCATCTTTCCCCTTTCCCCCAAATTGGGGAACAGTGATGTTCAGAACTAGTGATTTGAGATGCATTAAATAAGCGAAAGACCGTCCTTAGAGTCAGTAAATAAATAGTTTCTACAATGGCATGTTAATCTGTCTTCTGGAAGTTTCTAGATAAGCTTGATTTTCAAAATTGAAGAAAGCAGAAGATCTAGTCATTAACTTACTTTTACACAAGAACTGTATCTCAGGGCAATGACTAGTTTGAATTTGCTAGTAGCAGTTTATGTTAATCTTGGGTTTCTATAATTTGGGTTTCTGCAGTGCCTCGTTCTGTAAAATTTGCTGCTTTTACCCCTTAGTGGCTCAGTGTCGCTGATCTAGCTTATACACATGGTCGAACCTTTGCAATTGATACATAGGCAAAATCCTTATTTCAGGCTGGTAGCCTTGCTTGTAATACGGAACAGCTACAACTTGAGCTCTTGATTTATTAGATGACTGAAGAAGAGCCATATATGCTCTTTGTTGGGCTACCTCTGGCCTGTGAAAGATGGGGAGAACATTTCATCTCTTTATCATTCTTTACTGGATTTCATTTTTTTAACCTGTGGGAGTTTTTTTTAGTTCATGCTAAAACAACTACAACAGGGGTGGGCAATTATTTTGGGTGGAGGGCCACTTACAAAGTTTTGGAAAGCTGTCGAGGGCTGCATGGGTTGCCCTGCCCTGGTCACCATATTGGGACCAGAAGTCTGACCTCCTAGCCCCTGACCTTTGCCACTGGAAGTCCCTTTCCTTGCCCTGGATGTACTCCTTTTGGGAGGAAGGGTGCTGTGATCTGGAAATGGTGAAAAAGTGATGTAGATGTAGATATGTATACACCCACCCACACAAAACATCTACTATAACCTATTTTAATTTTATTTAAAAATATTTTTCTACTGATTTCTGTGTTTACAAAAAGTGTATCTAGAGGTGGCTGCATAATAGCTTAAAATACAGTCCTGCTGTGTGTTTTGTGTGGGCAGCAAGGGGGTATAAGTGGCGGTGTGGTTGGGAAGAGTGTGTGTGTGTGTGTGTGTGTGTGTGTGTGTGTGTGTGCGCTGAGAGAGAGCCGGGGCCGGGCTGCCAGCTTCATAGCGTGCAGCTCTAACACGGCATGTGAGCCTCACATGATGCAGCCAGGCAGAC